CATGCCTGCTCCAGGGTGGTTAAACCAGATGCCTTCTGCCTTTCTCCTGAGGACAAAAGGGAAAGCATGGTTAATTAGCAGGAATTATGTGATAGTTAATTCCACAAAACCTGTTCCAGGCAGGTGCGGTCACAAAGCACCCCAGAGCAGTTTTGTGTTAAGACTTGAGCTGCTGGCGTACTGTTTGCTGAACAAAGGCTGTGTTTGTTCCTTCTCTGGTGAGGATGTGCAGAAAAACAGCTCAAACCTTGCAATTCCGGTCTGGGACCTCACGAAGACTTGGGACTCCAAGCAAGGTCCTTGCCAAAATACGGGCAGGGGTAGGAGAAGCAGCCAGGAGGAAGGGGTTTTCTTGAGGGAAGAGTAACCCTTGGGATGATTCCCACATTTGGGAGCAGATCCCATGGGTTGCCCATTTCTTTAGCACCTCTGGCCACGAGCGTGGCAGCACAGCCAGAGCTGCGTATCGCTGGCTGGAGCAGCACTTCTCCTGGGCTGCGGTGAAAGCATTTGACACACGTGTCCTTGTGGGCCTCTGCTCCTCCCTGCCGGGTTGTGTAATGCTTGGAGCAGAGTAGAAGCCAGGTAAACACTTGGGTGCCTTTGTGCCAGGTGGTTGCCCAAGAAAAGGACGATCCTCTGTGATATTCTGAAAACCAGGTACTTTTGAGCAGATTATGCTGCAACGGGGAGGCCATGGCTTCCTGTGAGGTTTCACCTGATGCTCTCAGCAGCTTGTGGATGCTCTAAGGGTCCTGCTTGCATCCAGATGGCACCTCTGGAAAACAGCACGGGGGCAGGAGAAAAAATGAGGGAGGACAGAGAGAGGCTCTGCCTCGGGATGAGTCCCAGAGAGTGCATGGAGATGAACTGCAGGTCTACAGGACACCAGGCTCCAAGGCTGGGTGGTAGCATAGAGGGAAAGGGTGTAGAGAAGAGATGTCTTTGAGACGGATGCGCTGAGATGCATTATCCTGTTGCAACTGTGCTGTACTGAAAAAAGATTTCATGGGAGGCGTAATCAGTTTTTTGGTTGGTTTGTCCTTGTCTGGGAATGTGACTGGTCAGCCATGAAGCTGAAGGTGAGCGATGCCCTCAGAACTCCCACCTCTGCTGGAAGGCTGTGGATCAGAACAGCTCCGTAGGGAACGGCAAAACCAGCTGCCAGGGCTGACAGGGGGTTAAGGAGGGCAAAGAGATGCTGTTACATTTGCTAACTCATAGCAAGGCATTAGCCTTCCCCCGGGGCGCTCCATCCATCAGCCCCAAACCTAATGAGAACGGCCCTGCAGCCCTTTCCTGGAAGGATTTTGCTCGCAAACAAAAATGGGGAAGAAGGGTGTGGAAAAGCAAATGAAAAATGTATCTTTAGCTGCATTCGAGAAAAACAAGAGCTGGCCGGGGAAGTGCTCTGATGCAATTAAGTGCAGAGCAAATGTGAAGTGAATGTTCTTGTTTACTGCCTCTCTTTGTGTAGCTCCAGCTGCAGATTTATTGTCCCCTGCCCAGCCGTGGCTGCTGCAGCGCTGCTGGCCGCTCCGGGGGGCTCTCGGTCCAGCCTCCCGCATGGAGTGCTTCTCATTTCACACTTCAAAGATGGTTGAACAATGTAGCTGCACATCAAAAGGTTGAGCGGAACGGGAGAAGAGAACGATTGATCGCTGGCCCCACTGGAGTTATGGGCACCCGTGGGATGTGGGACCCAGCTGGGCCAGCAGTGCCTCTGGCAACTTCAGTTCATCCCTGGCTGCCAATGGAGTCAGTGGCCCACACCGGCTGGGCTACCGACTCCGTTGGCAGCCAGGGATGAACCCAACTTGTGGGATGCTCCCCAGGGATGTGCCCTCCATGTAAGGCTGCTCCTGGCTGGCATGGTGCCTGGCTGTCCCCGGGCCGACTGCTGCGGGCAGGGCACTGCGCTGGGGTTTATTCCCCTTTGGTACAGTGAGGGATCTTCCCATTCCTGGCTGTTTCGACTGAAATGCTCCTTGGGGAAGAATCTGGGTCTTGCTGTGGATGTTGCGGTACATCCAGTGCTGCAGAGCCCGGTCCGGCCAAAGCGTGAGTGGCACAGTAATGTGGGCAAACTGCTGCCCAGCCTTGTAGCCCGGCTGTGTGCCAAGCGTCCCTCTGGCTGCTGCCTCAGGGAGCTATTGCAGGCAGCAAAGGGATCAAAATTGGAGGACTTTTCACTCTACTTTGCCACTGCTACCAGTGGGAGGGTTGAGAGAGGCTACATGGGGACCAGCTGTGGTGGCCAGCGACCCCTACGCACTATCTGCACTGGCCTTCGGTTAATGAATACACATGTCTCTTGGTGCAGGCGGCCTGATGGCAGCCAGGACAAACAGAGCTGCAATCACACGAGCTGTGCACAAGTCCAGGGTCATGGTGCACACCAAGGCAAACCGTGCCATCGGCTTCTGGTTTCTGTCACTGCAGGTTGTCCTCAGTGGGATTGCTGTTGTCATGCTGTGACCCCCTCTAAGCATCCCAGGAAACCACCTCCAGCCTCAGCCGTGCTGCTGGTACGAGGTGGCTTTGGGCTGGAAGAAGGCAGGGTTTTGTAGGTGAGGCTCCTTTTTCCCAACTTTTCTTGCTCTTTTGGAGGTTAGGAGCCCTCGTCTGCTCTTGCTTTCCTGTACCATATGATAGAAAGTCAAACGGGAGTTTACAGGTGTTGGGCAGAACTACCTCTAGTGCCACTAGAAATGTTGAAGCTTTTGATTATTTCCCCCCCTCTCCCAGGGATTTTTGAACACCTTAACTTTTCCCTTTTCTCCGCTTTCTCACACCTGCAGTTCTCCTTCCCTTTATTTTCCTTTTTTTTTTTTTTTTTTTGGGGGGGGGGATGTCCAACAGCTGTGTCACTCCAGGTAAATGATTGACAACTCCTGAACCTTTGTTCCCCTCTTTTTGCCTTGGATTGACCTTTCCTATCCCCTGCCAGGGCCAGGAGTGGGCACGCTTTCTTGCTGTGCATCACTCCTGGATGTCATTTTCTGACAAATGTTTGAATTCATAGAAGTCATCCTCCTCCCTCATGTCGTGTCCTGCAGGAGAGGATCCACACCTCCCCTAGGCTGGGAATGCATAAAGCCAGCTTGGCAGTTTATTTGTGTTAAGTCAACTTAACTATGACTCCAAGGCTGATCCCTTGGATTGCCCAACCAATTTGGCAGAGCATGGAAACATTAGCGATTTCATTCTTTTTCAGTTTGGTTGTTCAATCATTTTTCTGGCATTCTCTGCTCTATTTTATTTCAAGTCAATTTAGCGTGAATTAACAGCCCAGCTTAGACAGCTTTAGAGGCTCCAGAAACTGTGTGCTGTAGGCTTCCAAACAAGTGTGCTTCCAAACAAGCGTACTCCCAGCTGAACGGTTCTCCCCTGGACCTGTCCGGAGGCAGGGATTTGATGGATAAACTTGCACAATTAGATGAAAAGTGCAGAGATGGGTTGGCGTTTGTGAACAGACTCCTCTGTGCTTGCCTGCACTTTGTCCTTCCCTGCAGATGTCCTCTGAAACATGCCTACCGCATTTATTAGAAGCGGGGGAAAGCTATCAGATGCCTTGAATGGAAACCTGCCCAATTCCACCGTGGCTTGTCCCTGGGGTGACACTGCCAGCCACCCTCTTTGCAGGGGAATGACTGCCATGCTGGGGTGGAAGGATGGGGTGAGGTTGGGCAGCCTGGTCCCACCTCCTCTTCTGGATGAGATGGGCATCACTGTGCTGTTTTGGAGAGGTGCGTGCACGCACACATGTGAGAGATGCTGCTCGTCCCACGGGCCAGAGGTGGCTGCTGCTGCTCAGTGACCCTTGGCTCTATCTTGCAATAATTTCAATCCAACATTTTATTTCCTAATTTAGGAGCTCTGCACCCAGAGCTCCTCCTCACTTACAGCTCTGGGGTTGCTAAAGTCCAAATAGCACAAGTTGTTCGTCGAAACAAGTCACAACCCCTCGGCACTGGCCCTGCCTCCCGTGCAACGCTGCATAAAAGAGCTTTGCTCTCTCCGTGGAGCTCCTCCCGAGCCACGGCACTTCTCCGGGAGAGAGCTCCTGGGTACCGGGGAAAGCCTCAGCTCTTCCTCCCTCCCCAAAACTCCTACACACCTACCTGGGGGCTGTGTGGGAAGTAGGTGAGTGTGGATCAGCAAGAAACCTCCGGGTTGTTTAAGGAGCTGGGGAGACTGCTGGGGAGGAGGTGGGTAGCCCCGCTTCCATGGGGCATTGCTGGGGGCTGCAGACCCACCTGGGTGAGCGTGCCCGGGTGGTCTCTGTGACACAACCGTGTTACCTGCAGGTAGGACGGCATGGTGCGGCGTGTGGCGGTGGTGGGTGCCGGCGTCAGCGGGCTGGCCGCCATCAAGTGCTGCCTGGAAGAGGGGCTGGGGCCCCCCTGCTTTGAGAGGAGCGAGGACATCGGGGGGCTCTGGCGCTACGTGGTGAGTGGCTTTGGCTGCCTGGTTTCAGAGCTGGCTGGGGAAACCTGTGTCCTCGGGGCTGGGATGCTGCACCTGGTTGCTCTGCTCTGATGGCTCCATGTGGGAGGGCTTAGTTGGTCCAGTACAGGTCCCCAGGTCCCCTCCCTTACCTGGGGGGACAGCCTGGCCACCTCCTCAGCTCAAGCCAAATCCCCGCTGAAATGCCAGCCACTTTCTTTTGGGGATGGAGGCAGACACCAGCTTCTCCCCAGCTAAGGAGCTGCACCAAGGATGTGCCCATGTTCCCCTCAAAGCCCACAGAGACCGGGACAGCTCTGAAGTGTGCAGGTCTCAGGCCATCCAAAAATCACCCTGAGGGGCTGCCAGCAGCGGTCCCACCTTGTGGAGCACTCGATGCTGCTCAAGGTAGCTCTCAGAGTGCTTTTAAGTAGTGACAATGCACCACGGAGCCAAAAAGGAGCCCAAATGAAGAGTTAGAGGCTTAGACCCAGAGCCATCTCATCCCATGTGCCTGCTGGCGGGCTGGGACCAAAGGGATGGTTTGGGGTGTGATCGCCGTTGCAGGAGCAGCTCCAGGTGCTGTTAGGGAAAGGAACTGAGCCCGTGTGAGTTAAACTCTGGTGCAGAAGGGAAGGGCAGAAAGCTTGTTCTGGGCCATCTGAAATGTTTGGTTCATCTTAAAACATGGACCACGTGTTTTCTGTCTTTTCTGGGGAGGGCTCTAGCAAATTCCTCCAGAAAGTTTGGTGATACTTTTTGATATTTATAACGAATTTCAGAGCAGAATATCACCACTGAGGGGAAAAGTCAAAAACACTTAACCTCCTTATTTGGTTTATGTGTTTTGTTCTTTTTTTTCTTTAAACTGGAAGTTGGTAATCATTTGGCCAACCCAAATATGAATTTTACAGTGCAGAAAACTCACTGTTGATTTTTCCCAGCTCTGTCCCGGCATCAAAGCCATCAGGAAAGGGTAACGCATCACCAGTGTTTTGTGCTGTTAAGTGCCGAGTGTCAGGGCAGACATAGCAGGTGTGTCCCCCCCCACCTCCGTGATGGGGACAGGGTGATGCATGGGGCTGATGATTTTGGGCAGGACTGGACCAGGCCATCCCAGGCCCCACTGCACGCATGGTGATCTTGGGGATTTCAGCAGATGCCCCATGTCCTGCCCTTCTAGATGTCACTGGGACGCTGGCTGGCATGGGCACTGCCAGCAGTAGGCACAAGCCTCCATCCGTGTCCCTGGCCAGACCTGCCCCACGGTTGCATAAAGCACAGGCAGCTGACCCGCTGCACCAAAGCAAACGCGCCTGGCCAGCCTTCTGCCTTCGCTTGTGCAATCGCCAAGACCACGTGCACAAAGGAGCAATGTCTGAGAGCACCTGCGGGATTTTTTGGAGGCTTTACAGGCAGACCAGGAGGAAGCTGGGCACTGGGAGGTCCCATGTTACTTGTCTCCTGTGATATTTTGCACATACAACTGTGTCACACCTGATGCTCTCTAGACCTGCGGTGGAGAGGCTCTGGCATGGTCCTTCAACAGTGCTCCCTTCCCCTGAGGTTTCCACCTTCCCTGGCAGATGCACTTGTAACTGACTCCTAAATGCCTTGGGTGATGCAAACCCTCCTCCCAGCCTTTTAGGACACTCCTCTGCTTACGGGGTTATGGCACTTGATGGCTTTTGCCAGGGGGTGATGGTATCTGGAGGAGTTGGTGCAGGGCTTCAGGACAGGCAGGGGTCACTTCCCCCCTCATGGGACACATCCACGCTCCTCTCCCTCCAGGACCAGCCAGAGGAAGGCAGAGCCAGCATCTACCGCACAGTTTTCACCAACTCCTGCAAAGAGATGATGTGTTACTCCGACTTTCCCTTCCCCGATGACCACCCCAACTACATGCACAACGCCAAGCTGCAGCAGTACATCTGCAAGTACGCCGAGCACTTTGACCTCCTCCAGCGCATACAGTTCAAGGTTAAAAAGCCTGGAGTGGAGAGGGGTGGCGAGTAGTGGGGGGACCTGGGCAGGAGGGACATCGCCTTGGTGCCAGGGTCTCCCTGCTGCAGGGAAAACCCTGGGAGAAAATACTACAGAGGGAAAAAAAACCTCCTGGTTTTGTTAATGCAGGTTCCATCAGTTCTCCTCTCTCTGCACTTGCCAGAGCAGCCAGCACAAAATTGCATGGGCAAACATCCCCTGGGACCTCTGAATCCCACCGACTCACTAAAGCTCTTGGTCTGCTCCACGGCCACCTACTTATCTTTTTTCTTTCTTTCTTTTAAGACCCTGGTCACCAAGATTAAAAAACGCCCTGATTTCTCTGTGACGGGGCAATGGGAGGTGGTGACCCAGAGAGATGGGAAGGAAGAGACAGCAGTTTTTGATGCTGTTATGATTTGCTCTGGGCATCATGTCTACCCAAACCTCCCCCTGGCTGACTTCCCAGGTAAGCTGCGTGTGTGTAACTCATCGGCCGGGACACAGCTGGGCGATTACCTTCCATCACAATGTCTGACCCTGCAAAAAAAAATGCCTTTTCAGGATTAAAAAGAGTGTTTTCCTTGAGAGCAATACTTTTGGGGATGGGATCCATTCAGGAAATCAAAACCTGTTTTGTTTTTGTTTTTTTTTTTTTTAAAAGGAAAAAACCTCAATATCCAAACTGTATCAAAGCAGGGACGTTTTTACTAGAGACAATGCTAATCTTTCCCCCTCCCAAAAATTTCATGGCATTTCCTTTAACACAAGATTTTTCATAAATGGATTTTGTAAAACACTTTTTTTGGCATTTTCCCATGATTTCTAGCACAAATGTCACATGTGTGACCCAACAGCCTTTGCCCCTCTGTTACAGGCACATTATTGGGAAAAACTTTCTCACTGGCAAGAAATATTTGGTGCTCTTTGGAAGACGCAGGGCTTGAGGCACTAGCTGGTCAGAAAAACTCCCCTCAAGTCCTTTGCCATCTTCTCTTTCAAAAATGGAAGCTGCTTCCATGTTGCTCGCTGCATGAGGGTGTAAAGCCGCACCGAGGGGATGGAGTGTGGCTGTCCGGGTGCATTGGGGCAATGTTGGCGTTGCAGTAGTACCTTTTTGGGGTACAGAAACACCGTGCAAAGGTATCCTGTGCTGGCACGTGCTTTCTGTTTAAATATTAAATGAAGCTAATGACAGATCTCATCCAACTATGGGTTTGCAATATCCCAGGAGACACCTGCTACCATGAGAAACGCCCAGACGAATGCCCCAGCAGCATCTGCGGAAAGGGGAGATCCGAAGCCTTCCTCTTCATTCCTGGGGTGAATTATGACCCCCTCTGTTCTCCTCCCCAGGAATACAGAAGTTTAAAGGCTGCTACTTCCACAGCCGAGAGTACAAGGAGCCAGAAAAGTTCAGAGGGAAGAAGGTGCTGGTGATAGGCTTGGGGAACTCCGGCTCTGACATCGCCGTGGAGCTCAGCACCGTGGCATCACAGGTACGGGGATGTACACCAGAGCCACTGGGGAATGAGGGGGTTCCCCATCTGCTCGAGCATGTGCCACCACCTCCATGAGACAGCCCCAAGGGCTCGCAGCCATCACGGGGGCAGCTCACCCCTACTTGACTGTCTCCCCAGGTCTACCTGAGCTCCCGAAGTGGGTCTTGGGTGATGAGCCGTGTCTGGGACAACGGCTACCCCTGGGACATGGTCATCCTCACTCGTTTCCGGAATTGGCTGGGGAACATCCTCCCCAAGGCGCTCAGTGACTGGCTGTTCGTGAGAAACATGAACCGGTTCTTCAAGCACGAGAACTTTGGCCTCATGCCACTGAACAGGTACACACGGGGTCATCCATCCCCAAACTGCTTGAGGGTGCTGATTCCAGAAGGGGCTGGACTGTGCCTATCTTGGGCTGGCAGCAGAAGCCACTTCTGTGACAGCCCCACCACCTTTGCCCTTGTAGAACTTCCCGCAGGGAGCCGGTGTTCAACGACGACCTCCCGGGCCGCATCACCTGCGGTGCGGTGGTGATGAAGCCGAATGTGAAGGAGTTCAGAGAAACATCCGTCTTGTTCCAAGATGGGACTGTGCAGGATGACGTCGATGTGGTAGTCTTTGCCACTGGTTACAGTTACTCCCACCCTTTTCTGAAGGATGATTCCATCTTGATAAGCAGGGACAATGAGGTCATCCTCTACAAATGCATTGTCCCTCTTCACCTTGAGAAGCCAACCATGGCAGTCATTGGGCTGGTCCAGTCCCTTGGACCTGCGATCCCAACGGTGGACATCCAGTGCCGCTGGGCAGTCAAGGTGTTTCAGGGTAGGTGGATGGACACGTGGTGCGCGAAGGTCTATCTTCTGTTAATGGGAAGTAGCATTTCCCAACAGCAATGGGAAGGCTCAAACTGAAAATCCGGACAGGACCTGAGGTCTGAGGAACACCACAGAAACACCAATAATGGGTTCTCCATGTGACGGGGTGCTTTTCAACGTGAGAGCAGGTCACTTTTCAGCCCACTGCAGATATCAGTGAAGTCCCTGTGGTGGGGCTGAAGAGTCTCTTGGGCATCACTGCACGCCTTTAAGGATAGAGGAGCCAGCGCTGTCACATCCTCAACACCCAAACTTGACCCAAGTCTGGTTCTTGACACCGCAGGGAAGAGAGGCACCCAAGGGCTCAGCTAATCCCTGCAAACCTCATCCTCTGCAGGAGTCTGCGGGTTTTGACCCAGATAGAGTTAATTTTTTCCATAGTAGCTAGTATGTGACACTTCTGGGTTTGTGCTGAGAACAATGTTGATAACGCAGGGATGTTTTTGCTACTGCTGAGCAGGGCTTATGCAAAGTCAAGGCCTTTTCTGCCTCTCACCCCACCCCACCAGCGAGTGGGCTGGGGGTGCACAAAAAGTTAGGAGGAGACACAGCCGGGACAGCTGACCCCAACTGACCCAAGGAATATCCCATACCGTTTGATGTCATGTTCAGTAACAAAAAACTGGGGGAAGAAGGAGGGGTGTTCAGAGTGGTGGTGTTTGTCTTCCCAAGTAACCATTACACATGATGGAGCCCTGCTTTCCTGGAGATGGCTGGACACCTGCCTGCATGTGGGAAGTGGGGAATCCCTCGGTGTGGCTTTTGCTTTACCAATTAAACTGTCTTTATCTCAACCCACGAGTTTTCTCACTTTTAGCCTTCTGATTCTCTCTCCCATCCCACAGGGGAGGAGTGAGTGAGCAGCTGGGTGGTACTAAGCTGCTGGCTGGGGTTAAACCATGACAAGGAGGAATCTCCTGGGCATCACTTCCCTTTGCCGATGCTCTTCCTGCTCTTTCCAGGACAGTGCACGCTCCCCCCGGTCAGTGAGATGATGGATGACATTGATGAGAAGAGGAGGAAGAAGCTCAAGTGGTAAGTGTGGCTCCTGGGACTCCCTGTGCTGGCAGAAGAGCCCTGCCATTGTCTCAGCCCCAAGTGGGCTGGGTACAGGTGCTAAGGAGGCCTGAATCAGGCAAGTTTGGGTGGAAAATTCGTGATGGAAAGATTTCCTGTCTGGAAATGCTCGTTTGCCGTCACTGAGGGTTATCAGGCTGAAAAAGCATTTCTCATTCACACACAAACAGGGTGAGGCCCCAGCAGAAATAGAACATTTCCATCATTATTCTTCGAAGTGACACTTTTTTGTTTCATAAAGCCCACGAAATGCCTTGCCTTCCCCCTCTCTGAATGTATCTGATATTATAGCGAGCCAATACTTTAAAAATATGACTGTAACCAGCGAAAGCTGGACCTGGCCCAAGCAATGTTTTATTTTGTTTTTTAGAAACCATTGCATTGTAGGAAGTTTCAAAACGCAATGTTTTCTTGTGAGCCAGATTCCTCCACTTACAGCAGCAAAGATGCAAGTCCCATGGAGCCGTGGCCCCCAGCCAGCTCCACTCCCCAGGTTTGGTGAGGGAGAGCAGAGGACAGACCCTGCCTCCACTGCGCTTAAAGAAAAAAATTAATTTAAAAAAAAAAAAAGGCTGGGTGGGGACAGGACATAAACCAGCCCCTGTTTATGTCCCTCTCTCTCCCTTGAAGGTTTGGGGACAGCACCACGCTGCAGACGGAATATATCACGTATGTGGATGAGCTGGCCTCGGACATCGGCGTGAAGCCCAACGTGCTGAAGCTCCTGCTGACAGATCCCCGACTGGCCCTGGAGGTCTTCTTCGGCCCCTGCACGCCCTACCAGTACCGCCTGATGGGCCCGGGGAAGTGGAGCGGTGCTAGGAAGGCCATCCTCACCCAGTGGGACCGAACGCTGCGGGCCACGCAGACACGAGTCACCCCCGCCGCCCCCAATACCTTCCCCTGCTTGGCCATGCTGGGGGTGCTCTTCCTCCTGCTCCTCCTCCTCCTCACCACCCTTTACTGCTAGAGGATCCCAGGGGGATGTGGCGGGGACAGGGAGGGATGCCAGAGTACCAAGTGCTGTGCATGCATGGGATGCTTTCTCCCACTGGGCAACGTGTGCTGCTCTCTGCTCGTTACCCTGAAAATTATTCACCAAGAGATCCCTAAAAAACGGCATTGATAAATCAGGTGCAATCTCCATGCCCGGTAAATTTGGGATGTTTCTCAGCTGAGGCTATGAAAGAGTATAAATACCAGCCCCAGTAAGTAAAGCTGGTTATTTTATCCCTCTAAATGTGTTCAAGTAGTGGTGCGTTGCTACACTTCTTTAAATCTCCCTGCCTGCTGTCTCTTTTTCGGGTGGAAAACTGGAGTTGATGTGTTTGGTTTTTCAAGAAGAGTTTTGGTGTAGAGCTTGCCCTCTAGCTAAAATGAGCTTGCCTGGATTGGACCTTCTTAATAATAATTTTCATAACAAGTAAAGAAAAAAGCCACTTTTTTCTCCAGTGGGGAAAGATGCCCAAATGAAAAAAATTCACATTAAAATATTGAGAGGAATACTCTGGTATATAAATAAATGACCTGCAAGCTCTCAGAACAACATCTGGACTTTGCTGGAATGTGTGAGCATCCCAAAGCTGAGATGAACTGTGTCTGCCAGCCAGATGTCCAGCCCAGCTGGGGCTGGGTAACCCAGTGCTGTGGTTGCTGTGGCCATGGCAAAAGCATCCTCGGAGAGATCCCTCTCCAAGCTGCTTCGCTTCCCACTGGGCATCACTGGCCCCACAGTGACAGCTTGGATGGTCACCTGTGCCTTGGCTTGCCCCTCTCTGCAGTCACCCCCAAGGTTTATCCAGGGGTGACAGCGATGTGCTATCTGCCCAATTACCCACCACCCTGAGGGGGCAAAGCTTCCAAGGTTCACCCTCACCTGAGCAAGTGGGGAGGAGCTGGACACATCCTGGTGAGCTGCCGAAATCCTGACGTGGCCACATCTTGAGGGCTTTTTCTTTGCGTCCATCTGCCAGGAGTGGAACCACCCACAGTGTAATTTTGGTGCTCCCCGGGAAGCACCCTGCCTGTGGGCAGCTGCAGGCATCTCAGCTTTTCTCCTCCATACAGCAGTAACTTACAGGTTTGCAAAATGCTCCATGGTTTTATGAAAAGCACCATGTAAATGCAAAATAACATCATTACCGTGAGCTCTAGATCTGGAAATGAGACTATAGGATGCCTCCGCTTTCCTTTTCAGTGCCTCTGCCCAAGTGCTCTGCTAACACGCTTCTTCCTACCAGGAGGTGAAGATGTTTGCCTGCTCTTATTTCTTCCAGTCCAAATGATGCATACCCATGGTGGGAAGCGATCCCTTCCTATGCCTGTGGTCCAACGCAGAAGACCTCAGACAAACCATTTCTCTCAAACACAAATGAAAATATAGTGGCATCATCCGATCAGTTTTTTTAAAATTCTTTTGCATTTAACAAGCTGTGTGTGGTGTATCGCTGTGATTTGCTTTCTAGCTGATGATGGCAGCCTTGTTAACCAGGTAGGATGCAGATGGCAGTGGTGGGGGATGTCACTGCTTACTTTGTGCCGGCAGGACCCACGGCAAACAGGATGGGGGTGGGAGCCCTTGCTTTTCAGAAGCCGAAGTACCAGGTTATGCGAAAGAAAGGGCAGGGGGAAGAAGAGGCAGCTGTCGGCACTGGGAACTGTGGGATGCGCTGGGGAGGTGTTGGGGTGCCAATGAGGTGAGCAGAGATGATGTCAGGGAATGAATGAACAGGGTTTGTGGGGTGCTGGCAGGGCAGCCCCCCTTCCCCAGGTGTGGTCAATAAATGGATGTGGGCCAGGCTGTGACAAGGACTCTCTAGGGCTGGCTTACATCTGCAAAATGGGTTGAATGACTTCATCGTTATCAGACATGAGGCCATAGCCTGTGTCCACGCTGCTGAGAGCACACTGGCTGCACTGCTCTTCCCCAGGTGAATTACAGGGTGTTACTGCTGGCCAAAGGATCACAGGGAAGCTATACCCGGCTGCTGGTTTTAAATTCCTCTGTCTGCAGCTGTTCTCATGTGAGCAAACCCTCCCCGGGGCCAAACCCCCAAACCCAAAGGCATGTCTCCAAACAAGGGCATGTGGGGTAGTCCTTTGCAGAGCAGAGATGCACCCCATGTTTCCTTTTACACCAGATTCCACATTCCTCTGTTATTCAAATAAGTAATTATTTTACATGTGCAGAAGTGGTAATAGAATCACAGAATCCATTTGGTTGGAAGAGCCCTCTGGGATCATCGAGTCCAACCTTTGCCCTAACACCCCCATGTCAACTAGACCATGGCACTAAGTGCCACCTCCAGTCTTAAACACCTCCAGGGATGGTGACTCCACCACCTCCCTGGGCAACCCATTCCAATGCCTAACGACCCTTTCTGTGAAGAAATGCCTCCTCATTTCTAACCTGGACCTCCCTGACGCAGTTTCAGACTATGCCCTCTTGTCCTGTCACTAGGACGAAGCACTGGAGAGCAGGCACTGCTTTAGAAAAGGCAGATATGGGGTGGCTGAGCTCAGAACTTGCATGTCCCAGGCCTGGTTCAGATCAAGATATTCATTCAGAGCAGCTATTGTCAGGTTGTTCCACGTGTCACCGCTCCTGTTCCCAGATCCATGTTGTATGGATTAAACTGGAGGTTCCAGGCTCTTTTCTTTCGACCCCCCTCCTTCCAGTCAGAGGGGAAAAAAAGGGCAGAGCTTGGCTCATAAGCTCCCCCAGCAGCATCACATCTCCTTGCTGCACCCCTCTATGCTGTTGTTTCTTCTCCTGCCACCCACCCTCCCGTGCCATCAGGCCATTTGTACATTTGCAGTCTGGCTGCCTTGGCCATGGTGGTCCGACCTCTCCAAATCATGATCCCATCAGCTGGGTGAAGCTCTCAGAGAAATTATCCAATACTCTGACCTCTGTAGAACAATTTCCTCGTTAAAAATAATTTCCAGAATATAAATAGGAAACACCAGCCAGTGGGGCTAAGCTTCAGTGATGCTGAGCAGTTCCAAGGCCCCAGGACTACCTGTGAGGGCTCAGCAGCTTCTCAGACCAATTAGCAAGCCAAGGCATGAGCCAGTCGGAGCTCCTCTATCAATTTAGTCTGGAAAATTCCCATTTAAACTGATCGTAGAGGTGGTTCTGCAAAATGTCCTCAGTTATCTCCAAATGTCAGCTAACAGCTTGTCTCTGCTCTAGAGATAAGAGAAGACTTGATGGCCACTCCAAAAGCAAGCATGAAGTTGTGTGGGAGGTGCTGGAGTCTCCATCACCAGAGGTATTTAAAACAGGTGAAGGAAACAAGGTGGTAAAGCTCAGTTAGAGCTGCTTTTGGAGGAGAAGATGGGTCAGATGTTCCTGAGGTCCTATCCCACCCTGTCTCCTAGGGTCTGGTGAAGCTATCGGAGGTCAAAGAAGATCTGCCAGCTGGTGTGAGCTAATGCAGCTCCGCAGTGCCTGTGCCGGCTCCTCAGCAAGGTACTTCTGAGTGGTCTGAGAGCAGTGCCCTGCTCAGTGTTGGGGATTTTGTTCTCTTTAAAAAAAAATTAATTTCTGGGTATAAATACGCACAAGGGCTCCTAGGCAGGAGGCTGGGGTGGTGCAGGAGCACATTGCTGCCTGAATTCGGAGTGCTGCTGTGTCCCCGTGCCGGGGGACAGGAATGTCAGCCACGGGCACACCTCCGCTGGAGATGCTCTCAGCGAGGCGGCAGGAATTGAAAGCATTTAAACTGCCCGGCCTGGGAGTTTGGTCAATATTTACAGAAAGGGGTCAGCTGCGCTGACTGAATTTTTGAAAACACTTGAAGGCCGATGGATGCCTTCACCGAGTGGTAGTGGTGGCAGGAAGGCGCCTTCGAGTCAAGCTGTACATGTCTTAACCATCTGCGCTCCAGATAGCTCTTCCTAATGATTATTTGCTTACAAGTTACTTTAACTATAAGTCCTATTTGCTCTGACAGTCTCTTTAGTAGTTATGTTTTACTACCTGTGAAATGACAGAGACAGACCCCTCAACGCTAAGGTTTGGCTCAGAAGAGCAGAGGAGAGTCTGAAGCCCTTCCTAGTGCTGCACGTTATTTGGGTGCATCTCCCACGGCACTTGGGGAGCACACGCGTTTATCCACTCTGAGTCCTGGTACAAAGACATGGTGAGCAAGGGAGGGCATATGTGTCCATCAGGGTTGGTCTTGTGAAGATTTTTGAGCAGTTGTCTAGGGAAGCTCTTAAATGTACATTTTGGAACCTCCAAGAGTAAGAAGTTAAAAACTGTAGTTCTCCAGGCTTTATTGACACAATAGGTTTAACAAGGGCAGCAGCTTTCTCTTGACAAATTCCACAGGTTACAGGCCTGGAAAACACGGTGACTTATTATTAAATCAAGTTAAACTTTGCTGAGTATGTTACGGTAAAACACTCGTGCCCTCCGTGCAGAGACCTCCTTGCCTAGCAAGCAAATCCCTCTCCCATGGTCGCTGCTACAGCCCATGTCTGCTCCAGCACATCCCTTGGGTCTCCTTGACGGTGACATCTCTTGGGGGGCTTCAGGAAGAGTTCAAGCTATTGAAAGTACCTAGCTCTTGATAAAAAGAAACCTAAGTGTCCTGCCAACGTTTGTCACTGGCAGTGTCCTCTGTGTGCTGGCAATAGTAAATAGGAAAACAGCCCCTGCTGCTTGGGGTAGAGGTTTTGTCTTTTTTTTTCTTTTTTAAGCAGGAAACTGCCTTTTTGCCTTGGGGACAAAGCATAAGCAATTTTTTCAGGGCCAAAATCCAGGCTGTAAGAAATGGGGGGACAAATACATTTTTCCACCAGCAGCTGCTTACAGCCTCTGTTGACCTCCTGGATTGCCGTATCCCACGGTCTCGTGGGAGGCAACAGCCACCTTTGGGGCAGCCTCACCTCCGTGTGCAGTAAAGAAATGGGGATTAAAGGCTTCTGCTCAGTAAGGAGAGGCAGTGCTAATATTGGAGA